GAAATCTCTCCTAGTAATTTTTGAAGATCATTAAGAGTCTGGTAGCAATCTCTTCTGATCTGTACTTTTTGTGGTCTAATTTTCTGTAGACCTATTTTATATCCTAAGTAGTTGATAGACTCTCCTTTTTGTATTTTTTCAGGTGCAATTTGTAATCCCCAGCGAGGTAAAACTTCCTTTACTTTCTCAAACATTTTTTTCTAATATTTCTCCTTTAGAGTCAGCTAACAATATATCATCCATGTAATGATAGATTATGGATTGTGGAAACTGTTTACGGATTATTTCTAACGGTTTTTGTACGAAATATTGGCACAGGGTGGGGCTATTTAGCATTCCCTGTGGCAAAACCTTCCATTGATATCTCTTCACCAGTTGAGAATTATTGTAATTAGGTACCGTGAAGGCAAATTTCTCTTTGTCTTGTTCTTGTAAAGATATAGTGAAGAAGCAATCCTTTAAATCAATAACTATAATAGGCCATTCTTTGGGTATCAAAGAAGGCAAGGGCATTCCAGGCTGTAGAGAGCCCATTGGCTGGATAACTTTATTGATGGCTCTCAGGTCTGTAAGCATTCTCCATTTACCAGATTTCATTTTGATCACAAATACAGGAGAATTCCAAGGGCTGGTTGATTCCTCAATATGTCCAGCATTTAGCTGTTCCTGAACCAGGCTTTCTAAAGCTTCTAACTTCTCAGAGGTCATAGGCCATTGTCCTACCCAGACAGGTTCCTCTGTTAGCCATTTTAAAGGTAGGGCTTTTGGTTCTTCTGTTTGTTCAGCACTTGTATTCTGTTTTTGTACTGCCTGGATATTTGGTATCTGTCTTGTATAGTACTTAACAGTATTTTTTCCACAATCATGAGGTCGTCTATGGTTCCTATCTAATAATGGAGGAATGTTAATCTGTGTATTCCATTGCTGTAATAGATCACGACCCCATAAATTTATCACTACATCAGCCACATATGGTCTCAGCCTCCCTCTCTGTCCTTCTGGTCCTATACATTCAATCCATCTCGTGCTTTGTTTTACCTGAGACAGGGTTCCAATCCCTAAGAATTGAACATTTACCTCATGCAGGGGCCATCTTCGAGGCCAAGATTTATTAGATATGATAGTTACATCAGCCCCGGTGTCCAGGAGACCATCAAACAGTCTATTATTCATCTTAACTATCAATCTAGGCCTATGACTATTTATAGCGGTTTGCCAAAATATACGTTTTTTACTTCCTTCTTTCATGTTTGATTCAACTTCCGTCACTAGTTTGTCATCCAGAGCAGTATGAGTTTTTATGATAGGCACAGAATTTTCTAATTGTCCTGTGGGAGATTGTCTTCCACTGTGACTGGGAATGTTCGGACCACCTGTGACGTGGGGGCCTTCGAGAGGCCCCCCCAAGGAGTTTCCCGATGGTAAAGGGTTTCCTTGCTTGTCTCTGGTCGATCTACACTCATTTGTCCAGTGTCTTCCTTTGCCACACCTTCTACATAACCCAGGAGGCTGAGGCCTTCTGTTTGATTCATTCCTGGGAGTGTTATTTCTAGGGAAGCTTTGCCTACAATTTCTTTTTAGATGTCCTATCTTACCACAGTTATAACATCTGACATGTTGATATCTCTTCAAACCTTTGGAGATGGCTTCTCCTACCCAAGCTTCTAAGTCACCATAGTAAGCAACTCTGTTATCTTGATGTCGTCTCTGACCTTTAGATATGGCTTCTCCTACCCATGCTTCAGTCTTATTGTCATTATACTCAATGTTGCCTGTATGTAGGACCCATTCATCCAAGGGTGCTGATCGCATTTTTAAAGGCCAAAGCACCTGTTTGCATTGAGGATTCGCATTCGCATAAGCTAAAGATTCTATGAGTATTCACCTAGCATCTATGTCTGCTACCTCTAATTGTACTGCCCTAGATAATCTTTCTAGAAAGATACTAAAACGTTCTCTAGGTCCTTGCCTTATCTTGGTATAGGGTTCTATCCTCTCTCCTAATTCCTGAACCTTATCCCAAGCATTCAAAGCTGCTGTACTTCATAGAGACAAGATATGTTCATCATAGGCAGCTTGGGTTTCTGGGTCAGCATAGAGACCCTCACCAAGAATTTTATCTTGGGGAGCTTTATAACCTTTCTTTAAGCCCTGAAGTTCAAGAGCTTTTGCTTCCTCTCTCCATAAAGCCCTCCATTCTAATTGAGAGGAGCTTTCAAGGACAGCTGATATTAATTGATCCCAATCCTTAGGGGTTACCTTGTTATTCCATGCCCATGACTCTACTAATTGCTTCACCTAAGGTGAGTGCATGCCATAAGAGACTACTGCTCTCTTTATACCTTTTAAATCTTTCATACGTATTGGTTCCCACTGATATGCAATGATACCTTTTGGATGTTTCTTCGTTGCTGGCTTTTCATGAATAGATACAGGGAAAGCTCCCCTGACCCTAAATGGTGTGGAAAATTTTAAATCTTTTTCATGCCCTGTTACCTGTAGTTCTTCTTCTGATGTATCAGACTGAAGGTCTTCTAAAGCCTGAAATCTATTCACCATTGTTTCTTTGAGTGTCTGAACTTCTTGAATCAAATAACTTTCTAGAGACTTCATTGCATCAGTCAGTTTCTTACTTTCTCCAACTACAAATGATTCCATGTTTTTAATCTTATCATCCTTAGATATTATCTGAATGGCGTGTAAACTGCCTTCCAGAAACAATGTTCTATCTGCTAGCTTGCCATTATCCTCAGACATGGAAGAGATTCTATCATCTAGTCTTTCTATCTGATGTTCCAGTTTTTTAAACTTATTAGTAGCTTCCTCTGACCAGGAACGAGCTGTTTCTGCTAGTTTGTTAATGCATTGCATTGTTTCTGTTCTGGTTATTGAGGTATCTGACATGAAACAAATTCTACCTGTCAGCTCGCCAACACCATCTTCAATATTCTGAACCTTTCTTTCTATACTTTCTATGCTTTGAATTCTATCATTTTCAATGTATTGAATCCTTGTCTCTATGATTTGAATTCTATCATTTTCAATGTTTTGAATCCTTGTCTCTATGCTTTGAATTCTATCATTTTCAATGTTTCGAATCTTCTTTGTCTCTATGCTTTGAAGTCTATCATTGTCAATGTTTTGAATCCTTGTCTCTATGCTTAGAATTCTATCATTTTCAATGTTTCGAATCCTTGTCTCTATGCTTTGAATTCTATCACTTTCAATGTTTCGAATCCTTGTTACTAAGTCTCCTATGGTTTGTACAAGTTCCTTATTGTTTGCTGTAATCTCGAACCATTTCTTTAAGAATATCATGTTAATGATGAAACCCATTGCTATTACAAAATAAAAGTATATATTGGTCCAGTCATAAGTTTCTTCTGCTAAAATCCCTTCTACATATGAAGTAAAATAATTCCTAAAGTTCTGCATAGTAAAATTATCTGCCATAGTTATGGAACAATTTATCTCAGATTTTATATCAGCATAAATTGCAAAGGATGTTACAATTACCTTAGGTGTAATTCTGCTGTCCTGGAACTTTGATGCTTTTAGTTGTATATCTCAGCTTGTGGTAGCTACACCTGGAGGTGTGCCACCAAATAGCGCCTAGCCGCCGAGGCCCGTCTGATCCCGGTTCTGCCTAGAAGTGTACCACCAAATATTGTCCAGCAGCAGACGATCCTTCTGATTCCGGTCCCTGTAGAATAGCTCTTAACAAACTGTGGCAAGCAGAATTTTATTAAAAGGGGACTTTTGGAGTTACTTGGAACACAAGACAAAACGCGTGCAAGCCGAGTGCCCAAGGGCGGGTGCCGCCGCCGAGAGGCTCTGTGCAAATGCAAAGTCCCGTGCGGAAATGGGCAAAAAATGTTAAGAAGTGAGTGCTTTCTCAGATCTGCTTTAGTGGCAAAGATCTCCTTTGCGGTAAGGAAGAGGCAAATGTCCCAAAGCTGTGGTGAGTCCACCTGGTTAAACCCTGCCCGTTGGGGAAGGTGGGGGAGCGGCTTCTGCCGCCTGGGTGAAGCCCAGGTAAATCCGCACTTCTGACACCAGATATCGCGGTTAAATAAGGATCTGGATAAACAAATAGGCCGAATAGATGTTTATTCAGGGAGAAATAACTTACAACCTAGACAGATGAACACCAGGAAATTCAACCCGATCCTCTCCTGTCCGAGTCAAGCCATCAAGAGAGAGCCTTTCCTGGCCCCCTCCAACCTCCTTCCACAGGTCACTCCGCCAATGGCTCCACCCCCAATGGGCGTGGTCAGTGCCACAGAACTATCTCACTACAGTTCTCCAGAGTATATGGGGATTAGGGGGGCAGTGAGTGGAGAGGGAACTAGGCGAAAGAAAAGGGGAGAAGAGGAAAGCACGTGGGACTAGGAAGATTGAGTCAGAGGAGGAATAGAAGACAGAAATGAGAAAGAGAGAGAGAGAGAGAGAGAGAGAGAGAGAGAGACTTAAAGAGCCATTATAGGATTGAAGAGAAAACTGACCAAAAGGAATGTCCAGATACAAGAATGAATCAAACTAGAATCCAGATGCAAAGAGAGAGAGGCCAAGCCCAAGTTGCAGAAACACATAGAGACAGGTGACCTGAACAAGGAGGAGCTAATGGGCCCCCAGACTGACAGCTGGGAATCCAGTATGGGATTGACTCAGACACCCTGAACATGACTCTCAGGCAGAAGGCCTGGGAAGTCTAAGGGACCTCAGACAGTGGAACCAGGATGTATTCCTGGTGCACAAAAGGTCCTGATGGACACATCCCCCATGGAGGGATACTCCCTTAACCTAGAGACAGGAGAGAAGTCCTAGTCCCTACTTCAAATGACTTGTCAGATTTACATGACCCCATCTGGATGGCATTGCCCTACATGTGGAGTGGGGGAGGGGTGGAAGGGGAGGGTAGTTGGGGTGCATGTGAGAGGGGGAGGGAGGTAGAGGGAACTGGGATCGAACTTTAAAAAAATAAATAAATTTGCTCGGGGATGGAGGCGGAAGACGAGGCGCCGCCGCTGTGACGGCTGCAGAAGTTGCCTCCGGAGCAGGGCGCCCCGCTTCTTCACAAAATAATTGATGGCATGTGTGGTCGAGCTTACCCTGCCCACCATGATTATCACAACGTTTGGGATTTGACTGAATGGAAGCTCGTTCTGGAAGATGTGAGCATGTTTTTCAAAGCTGTAGTTGGCAAAAACTTTTCAGATGAAGAGACACTCCAGCAATTGAACCAACTGAATTCATGTCATCAAGAAGCAGTAATGGAGTGCTTAAAGAGCAGGAAAAATGAGATCAAGCAAGCCTTGTTGGGACAAATAGTTGATATTTCTTGTGCACAGCTACAGGATTTTGATTGGCAGTTAAAGCTCGCGCTTTCAAGTGACAAGATCGCCACTTTACAGATGCCACTTTTAAACCTTCACCTGGATGTGAAGGAGAATGGTGAAGTGAAACCATACTCTATTGAAATGAGTAAAGAGGAGCTGCAGAGTCTAATCAGTTCCTTGGAGGCAGCTAATAAGGTGGTCCTGCAGTTAAAATAACTGGAAATAGTGAATTTCAACACTACCAGATTTCACTGCAGCTACGTGGCAAAGCGAAGGATGTGTCCGAGGGTCGATGCTACAGCAGGCTGAGCAGGAGCAATGCCGAGCTGACAGAGATGAAGACCTGTCAGCACCCTAAAGAACAGGAAACTGTGTGGATGATAGGAAATACGTAAAATGAAAGGTGAAAAGCTGAAGTCAACAATAATGTGATTGTTTCGTTTTATTTCAATGCCAATATTAAGACTGTATAATTTGTGATATGGGAAAATGTTTTAAAGCACCTATCAGCTGCATATGGAACTCAGTAGGGGTCTCTTATCTTTCCATGTTTCAGAGAAAAGGTGTATAAGTTGTGAGAAAGCTGTCACTGATGGTGTGATGTACATGTTGTTACTCACATGCAAGTTCGTTTTTGTTTGTTCTTAATATGGAATTTGAGCTTTGTATGATCACAAATTAATTGTAATATAAACCGTTTTTTCATTTCAGCTAACTTTAAAAATGAGCATTCTGAACAAATAAAGTGTCTGGTTTTATCCTTAAAAAATAAATAAATAAATAAATAAATTAGAAAGAAAACATATATATATATATATATATATTTATATATATATATTCACAACTCATCATGTGCTATGCAATTGCTGTACCAGAGTTATAGTATCAACCTTTTTTTACTCTTTTACTTTTGTTTTGATTTTAGTTTTTATTTTCTATGTGAGAATCTTAAGATTTATAAATTTTATACTACTCTAAAAATTTAGATTTATTCTTAATTTATTTGTATGATGTTTGCTTGAGTGAATGTAGTATGAGTTCAGTATGAATGTGAACTCTACATGTTGCAATACCTGTGACTGCCAGAAGAGGGCATCAGCTTTCCTGGTGCTATAGCTATAGCAGTGTGAGCCACATGTCTGTGCTGAGGACCAAACCCCAGCCATCTGCTGTCTTTCCCACAACCCGCTGACATCTTATTCCCTTTTTAAGCTGTACAGGGAGCTTGTTAAAGAACAGACATAATGGGGAGATGTTTGACTTCTAATCTGCCATCTCTGGTTTATGAAGAAACACACAGGAAAGGGGTGGAGAGCGGATCGGGAGGGATGACTGCATAGTGGTGCAGAGCCTGTTCTCCTGTGCCCAGATGGGCGCTGCCGTGAACCACTCCCTGTCTCTCCCCAGACCGCCAACCCACAACATCGTGGTGAATGGGAAAGAATGTGTAAACTTCACCTCCTTTAATTTTCTTGGGTTGCTGGAAAACCTTTGTTTAAGGCGAGTAGCAGGTAGTACTGAAGTGTAATACGACACTGCTAACAGCTGCAAATATATAAGAAAGGCATGGTCGTCAGGGAGGACATCATTTCATATGAGTATTTCTGACAGATTCAAAATATGGCCTGAAGCATGCAGGGTAGAGAGTCTGCTGGGATCAGTGATCCTGACATCCATACCATGGGTAGCCAGGCCTGGGTAGTAGAGAGAGCACTCGAGAAGTTGCCCAGCTCCTGTTCGGAATGGGAATGGCAGACATCCTCAGGGAGGACCAGTGGTCACTGGGCTTTTAGAAGCAGACAGTGTCATTTCTCCTTTGCTTCAGTCATGTCTGTCATTCACTAATCTGTGTTTCCTGAACAGTGTTAGAATTGTAGTCACAGAAAGGGGGAAGCCGGAGAGAGGAAGAGGAGACATGGGTCCTTGAGTGGGACACATTACCTGACTGGTTGGAGTTGCCATAGTTACAGGGAAGAAGGGAAAGGGATGGTGAGGTCTGCCGAGTGGGTGGAAGAATAGGGAGAGTGGTCAGGGTCACCAACAGGAAATCATTATCACATTTGCTTCCATAAAGGCCGCAGCTTTAGCATCGTTAAAGAAGTATGGTGTGGGCACCTGTGGACCGAGAGGATTTTATGGCACATTTGGTAAGTCACATTCTCTTTCAGACTCCCTTCGAGGATCTGTTTGAGTTTGAATCTCCTTCAGAAACATTCCTACCCCTCAAGCTGAGTGTGTGCACGTACTTTCTTTTCACTTAGTTGTGTTGGCAGCAAGGATAGAGTTGTACGGGGAAGAGTTGTCAGGGCCTGAGGATGTGCTGTGCAAGGCTCTGCTGCAGGGGTCCTGATGGAGGGTGCTGGGAAAGAGTGTTTCCTTTGTGTATGCCAGCTGTTGGGAGAAAGGCCCAGCTGCTGGGGGTTTGCTCTTAGAGGTCATGCTGGTTTCCACGTGTGGTGTGGTGTCACCAAGTTGTGGAGTGAAAGGTCAGGCAAAGGTGCCTTTCCCACAGGACAGGTAGCTGTGCAGTGTCCCACAGTCCACTGGCAAGAACTAACAGCAGTGCATACCTAGTCCAAAGGCAGGGCTGGCGAAGAGCCAGTATGTGGGTGATGTCTCTGTTTCCTCCACAGAACTGTGTGTGGTTGACTGTGTGCATGCCTGTGGAGGTCTAAGTGTACTTCTGGGGATCTGTATGTAGATGCTAGTGTCAATAACCCTGGAAGGAACTGAGAGTTCTCTGTGAGTTTCTTCTCCAGCCTACAGAGATCTTAGTCTCTACTCTCTCCCAGTATGAGCTTGTCTGAAAACTTCTGTAGACATCTGGGTGGCTGTTTGGCTGGGTCTCTGATGATCTCTGGCACGCTAAAGTGTATGTGGCAAATGAAAGTTGTGTGGTTTTTGTGTTGGGGACGTGTGTGTCTGGTTGGCTGTATGCCAAGAATTCTAGGAGTTTCTGTATGTGGATTTCTGCCATGGGCTATGAAGCAACCTCCTCCTGAAGGGTCCCCTGGGGAAGTCTCTATGGAGATATTTGGGGATCTTTGTGTTTTGGTCCATGAAGCTCTCTGGGGGGTTGTTTCTGGAATTCTGGGAAGTTTCTTTCTTTTTTAATCATTTTATTATATTTTCTTTGTTACATGTCAGTCCCAGTTCCCTCTTCCTCCCATCCTTCCATACCTCCCCTAATTACTCCTCCCATCCCTCCCCTGACTGACTCTCCCAGCCCTTCCCCACCCACACCCCAGGGATGGTGATGCATTCTGGGAGGGATCATCAAAATCAGTCATTTGGGGTAGGGCCTAGGACCTCCCTACTGTCTCTAAGCTAAGGTAGTATCCCTCCATGGGAAATGTGCCCCCAAATGTCTTTTTCATGAACCAGGGATATATCCTGGTTCCACTTTCAGAGGTCAGATAAACTGCACAGGCATTCAAACTGATACTCCTGTTCAGGGTGTCTGATTTGGTCTTATTCAGGTTTCCCAGTTATCAGTCTGGGGTCCATGATCTCCCCCTTGTTCAAGTCAGCTGTCTTTGTGGGTTTCTGCATCCTGGTCTTGACCCATTTGCTCATAACTCCGCTCTCCCTACAACTGGATTCCAGGAGTCGGCTAAGTGTTTAGCTGTGAGTGTCTGCTTCTGTTTCTATCAGCTACTAGATAAGGGCTCTTAGACGGCATATAGGGTCGTTATCTATCTAATTATCAGGGAAGAGCATTTAAGGTAGCCTCTCCACTATTGCTCAGATTGTTAGTTGACATTTCCCTGGTGCCAGTTTTCTCTTATCATTGATGGCTCCCTCTATTATGGTATCTCTTTTCTTGCCCTCTACTATTTCTCCTCAGACTCAATCTTCTTGGTCCCTACATACTCCTGTACTCTCCTATTCTCTTCTTTCTCATAATTTCCTGTCCACTCCATGGCACCCGTGCTTCCACTATGCTCAAGAGACCTTGTCCCTTTCTTCTTCTGTGTGGGAGCCTAGTATCTCTCTTAGTGTCCTCCTTGTATCCTAGTTTCTCTGAGGTTGTGAGCTGCAGCCTGGGGATCCTTTGCTCTATGTCTAAAATCCATACATGAGTACATAACATGTTTGTCTTTTTGTGCCTGGGTCTACACTGGACCAGAGGGCAAATGACAAATTACCAGGGGTGTCTGCAGCTGCCCTGCTCGCGGAAAGGTGTGTCATGTTGACCATTCTTCCATTGAAGACAGGCGTAGGACAGTGACACCATTTCATCACACAGACTGAGCTGGGAGGTGCTAGAGAACTCAGTTTGTTGGCAGCCTCCAGTGAGGTGAGTATGGCCTCCCTACCATCCATAGGCCATTTCTTTCTTGGCAAGATATCCATAGGTCAGGATTCCCCTGATTTGAACTCAAGGATGCCACACAACTGCTGTCATCATTACTATACCTGCTTTGTGACCTGTGAAGACCATGGGATGGTACTCTGGTGCCTCTGTACACAGCTACACAAATGTCAGGTTACAGAAAATGAGAAGAAAGGCCAGGTGATCTAGCCCTTGGGGAGGTGTTTCATACAGTTGACTTGGCTCCCACTAATTCTACAGACTTCCTGTTTGTGTTTGACAAGGTTGACCTAGCACCCATAATCCTAAAGACTTCCTCTTTGTGTCTTGTAGAGTTACACCCCACGACTACCCCAAAACATAAAAGATTAGGATTCCATTGTTACACTATAATAATAACTACAAGGATGGAACTAGCAGATGGAGCCATATATTTCAGAAGCAGTACTAATGTATTACCAGACAGACATTTCCCTATGGCCTAGAACTACAGACACAAACTCCAGATAAACCATACACAGAGAAAGTAATGTCTAAAAGTTTAATTACTTCAAATACGGAAAAGCACTTGCTCTTCCGGAGACTCGACTCCTACAGGGGCAGTGCCTAGGACAGTGGATGGGTGTGCTTGGAAAAGGACGTGCCTGTGCCCTGTGCTGATATTGACTGGCTCGGGACACAGGTTCTTTGGACACCTGGGCCCGGTTGTTAGCAGGGCGCATCCATTTGTCAGTGAAAGGCTGGCTGTGTCCCTTGGGTTTAACTTGATGAACACAGACAGTGTTACCTTGTGCTGTTTTTGCCTGTGCAGTTGGAATTTTGCCCCTGCAGACCTGCCTACTTACTGGAGCCTGAGGTAAGTATGGATGCTCATTCTTCTGTGAGGAAGCATGCACATGGTGAAACCCCAATTTCTCTTTCAGAAATCTTCCAACAGATGACATGAGGTTCTGAGCTTCAGTGACCTGCCGGAGCCTGAAAAATCTGCTCAAGCCTAATGCTCGGCTTCGGCAGGTGCCTGAGAAGGCCTTGACTTTTTGCACTAAGTACCCCTGTCCTTTGTCTTTGGTTGTAAAAATTGAAACAATGGTGTTTTTTA